GGAGAGAGAGGGCGGGATGGCGCGGGGACTCGAGACTCGAGGACCCGGCCCCTCCGCTCAGGTCCCGTCGCGCTTTCGCCCCTGCTCGGTGACCTCAAGCCCTTTATACCGACCCCACCTCTCAAGAGCCGGGAGTACCGCCCCTGTAGGGGGAGGGGCGGAGGAGAGGCTTTCGAGCGCGGATTGAGCCGTCCGGGCACCCGTAGTGGGGAACCGTGGACCGCCGGTCTCGGGGCAGGAGGGAGGTGTCCGCGCTCGGAGGGAGGCTCCGGTGGGCCTCGCGGCCGGCTGGTCCGTCCCGCGGAGAGCGCGAGTCTGGGTTGGACCTCGGGCGACGCGCGGAGCGGCTGGCGCAGTCATGTGAGTTGGGTCTCAGGCCCGAAACAACGCGGTGTGTTGTTCCCCTGGGCGGCCTCTTCAGGCCTCGGTCTTCCCCCACCTTCTCCCGCCCTTCGGCCGGGGGCGTGCCGGACGCGCTCTTAACTCGCTCGGGGCCGGCACCGGACCTGCAGGGCCGGTTCTCTGGGCGGGGTGGGCCTGCTACCCCGCCGAGCGCCCTGGGGGCGTGGAGCCCTGGCGCAGGGGTCGGGGGCGGCGGCCGGGCGAGGTGACGCGCTGCACGGCCGCGGGGCCGCGACGCGGGGCTCCCTCCCCCGCGCCGTCGGGGGCGCCGAAGTCTCTCGGGTTCCGAAGCTCCTGGACCCTGGGGTATTGTTGAACTTCGGGGTGGGGCTGCGGCCGCCGCTGCCTCCCCCCACCCGGTGCCAGCGGCCGTCTTGGATGGCGTCAGGACGATTTTGTTTTGTGTGGGGTTTTTTTCTTCGTCTGCTGTCTGAGAGGTCCTGGGGCTTTTCCAGAAGTTCTCTTGCCCTCAGGCTCAAGAGCAAATTGTATTAACTGATAATCTCCGAGGAACCGCAGTCTTCCCCCGCGTAGTCTTGTGCTTTTTTTTTTTTTTTGGTTTAAATAACTGGGTTTAAGGCAAACTTTGAGTCTTTAGGCCTGCGTTGCAGCAACCTCCCCAAAAGCCGGAAAGGATAAATCATCTTTTAAGATGTTCCTTTCCTTTACAAAACGATGACGGTAACAAATGAGGTTTTTTTAAGCTATCGTATTTGAGAGAGTTTTCTAGTAAATTAGGTGTAGTAACGCAGAATTTCAATTGACTGCTTCAGCCAGAGAAATGGTAAAATTGGGAGCTATGTATAACACAAGTGTGAGTATCGGAACCATGTATTTCAAACTTTAACAATATGTAAAGCATGCAGAATTTTGCGTTTTTACATAAGCTTAGACTTTTTTTCCCCTTTTTCAGGGCGGACTACTGGAAATCACAACCAAAGAAATTCTGTGATTACTGCAAGTGCTGGATAGCAGACAATAGGCCTGTATGTGATTGCACCATTAGAGTCTGGTCATACATGTTCATGTGAAGTGTGCCTTTTTGATGTAAACTTAGAGTTTACAAAGCGCTTTCATATACATTACCCTTGATTTTCAAAACATCAATATGTCTGTCTTATCATTCCCTGTGTAAAACCATTGAGCTTTCATCCTTTTCATCAAACCTAATTTTGATTATATATTAAGCCAAATTATTTCTCTAAGGCCTTTCAGGAAATGGACAATGGGTAGGTAATCCCATTTGTGTTTATGAAACACCTACATTATAATGGTGCTGTTTGTAATACTGTCATACACGAAGAAAAGTAAAAGTGGAAAATCCTTAAAATATGAAAAAGATGAACATTATTGTAGTTCTAGAGATCATTAAGTATATTCGATGCAGAGCTTTATTTTTACATACTTAAATTTGAAAGAACATAACTATTCCCTCTGTTTTGAAATATGAAACTCGTAACACTGTTGTTTCAAGTATGTTATTACTCTATCTCACAGTCTAGATCGAATGCTTAAGACATAAATCACATCATTGATTTTTTTTTTCCCCTTTGCTGCGTGTCATAATACTATGTAGGTGCTACATAAACACTAGGGTATTTGTTACATATGTATATATATATTCATATTTTACTTGGCAGAGTAGGATACAAAAATAACTAGTCCTATGTTTTACAATGTTGTGGATTTCTTTAGTAGACATTTACTGTTGTCTACAAGATGTTTGAGTCAGGATCTTACTGTGTCACCCAGGCTTGAGGGCAGTGGCATGATCACATCTCACCACAGCCTAGACCTTCTAGGCTCAGGTGATCCTCCTGCCACATTCTCCTGAGTAGGTGGGATTACAAGTACGTACCACCATGCCCAGCTAATTTTTTTTTGTAGAAGCAGAGCTTGATATGTTGCCTAAGCTGGTCTTGAACTCCTGGGCTAAAGCCATCCTCCCACCTCAGTCTCCCAAACTGCTGGTATTACAGGTGTGAAGCACTGCACATGTTTCGAGTTTTGAGGGTTTGTGGGTTGTTTCAAGTCTCAGTCTTAGGCTGGCGTGCAGTGGCATGCTCACTACTACCGCAGCCTCTACTTGCTGGGCCCAGGCAGTCCCTCTCCTTCAGCCTTCAAAGTAGCTGGAACTACAGGCACTAGAGATGAAGTCTCACCAAGTTGTCCAGGCTGGTGGACCGTTGCTCTGTCTTCCGAAGTGCTGGGATTATGGGCATGAGCCACTGCACCTAGACAATCATTTTTTGTTTGTTTGTTTAATGTTTTATTTTGGTCTTCTGGGGTAGTTGCTAAAAGTCTTTTACTATCTTGTTTGACTTAGGCTGTCCTTATAAATAAACATCATGAATTTTTAAAACAACAAAAATCACTGAAAGTCTTTCTTCCTTGGAGGTACCCAAGGCTGTAAAATGAACTTTGAACTATTTATCTCCTTGAATTGCTAACACACATTAATTTAACCTTTAATTAGAAACAAAATTAACTTTTTAGTGGGCCTTTAATATTATATTCTTCATGTGATGAAATCAACATTAAGAAATCCAGTAAATTAAAAATAGAGGATGAGAATTTGTTTTAGAAAGTTACACTTTATAGAGGAATTCACAGTACTGTTTTAGAATACCTCAGTTAATACATCATATAAGATATGATTGACAGAACTTATTTTGCAGAGCATACCAGGAATTTGTTGCTGCATATAACCAGACACTTGTAATTTAGGGAGCATTTCTGATTGTTTAAATAAATAATAATGCTCACCCACTCCTGTTCCCATTCATCCAGTTACCATCACTTGCTCTAGATTTTTTTTTTTTCATTTTCTTGTCTACCCTTCCATTGTTTCTACATCCATATAGATACAGTTTTTATTCTAACATACATAAAGGGTAACATACTATATATACTGTTCTCCACCATAGTTTAAAAATTTAACAGTATATCCTAAAGCACTCTGCATGTCAATACATAAGTAGTCTCTTTGTTTTCTATTACAGCAGCCTATGAGAATGTACCGTAGTTTAATTAACCATTTCCAACCTGTGTTTGGGGTTTTGAGGGAATTTTTTTGGTTATATTTTGGTCTTTTGGGGTAGTAACTAAAGTTCTTGACTATCTTGTTTGACTTAGGCCATCCTTATAAATAAACACCATAGTTGAACACTTGGATTGTTATTGCAAATAGTGCCTCAGTGAATAACCTTGTACATAACATCATTTTGTACATGTGCATGTATATATACAAAATAAATGCCCAGAAATGGTATTGCTGGGTCAAAGGGTAGATGTATTTGCAATTTTGATAGTTACTGACATATTGTCCTCAATAGGGGTTGTATATTTTGAGCCATTACCACATTGTATAAAAGTATTTGTTTATAGCCTATGAGGAATTTTTAAATATCTACTTTTCTTCCAATTTTGAGGAATAAAGCAATAGGATCATTTTTTGTTCTGTTTCTCTTACTTAATGTGGCAGGTAGAGCAATAAAATTCTAGAGTCTTACTGGTTTTGATGTTGAATGTCGTTTTTTTCCAATCCTCTTTTGGCAACATGTCTTGAGTCCTCATTACAATCATATTCACTGGATTAGTCATCAAGGGTACCTCTATTTTTCTCCATTAATATGGCCATCATAGTTTATTTTAAGAACCAAAGGAAACCTAGTCAGAAGACAACAATAAATAATGTTGTTCCTTAGCATCATTTGACAAACAGAGCCAATTTGCTTCAAGTTAATCTACTTGTATCTTTTCTGCCAGTTGTTTTAATTTCAATTTTCTTCTCATATTTATGGTATTACTTTACTATGGATTTTATGATATTTATGTAGTTTTCCTTTGTATCTTCTCTTTTTTTTTCCTTTTCAAGAGTGTTGAATTTCATGAAAGAGGAAAGAATCATAAGGAAAATGTGGCAAAAAGGATCAGTGAGGTAATTTTGATTGTTTCTTTGCCAATTTTTCTATGTAAATGTCAATACTTTATCTTACTTTCACTTTTATTTATGTGTTACATAGATTAAACAGAAAAGCCTGGATAAGGCAAAGGAAGAAGAAAAGGCATCAAAGGAGTTTGCTGCAATGGAGGCAGCTGCCCTGAAAGCATACCAAGAGGATTTGAAAAGGCTTGGCTTAGAGTCAGGTAAAAAAGGCAGCCAGCATGTTTTAAAAGTAACATCAGAGGTCATGCTAAGTGAGCTTTGATTATTTCCATAAAGAGGTTATAAACTCAGAGTATACTCTCAATGCCTTTATTGTGCATCATAACCCTATTTAGAGTGTGGAATTTTGCTCGTGTACTTTTGTTTCATTTTTAATACTGCACCTTCTAATACCTCAATTTACAGCAACTATACTACCTTTGTGATTACCTAGTCCTCGCTCTGTTCTAGGTGAGTGGTTCATTTCAGAGACACTTTGAGTTTTTTAGGTATTCTAATTATTTGGCTAAAAGATACTATTTTTAAAAAGACTTGTGTTATAATTACAATTCACTTTCTTTATGTGGTCAGAGTCATGAGTCTTGTTTATTTGTATGGATGAATGCATAGTGAGTTAGCCTTTCGTGGACATGTTAGCTGATTTTTACTACTAGAAAGCAGGTATTTTAAGAATTTGAGAAAAAGGAAGATTTATATAAAAGACATTATTTAACTAAAATGTATCCATCTTGGCATTGAATTTAGGCTTTAAACCAGGAAGCTTCTGTGAAAATTTCTTCTGCCAAGAAGTTTAAATTTTCTTTAAAAATCTTAAATTTTCCTTAAGTCGAGCATACAGCAGATTGCAATTGTTGATCTTACATAGTGATTGAGGTAGTCAACATGTAATGGTAGTCTTTATTCCTCAATAAAAACAGCTTTCAATTAAGCAGAATAACAGTTAATTGGCATTGCCTTCATTAAATAAGAACAGTTGTAGCCAGACTTTTAAAATATTATTCTGGACATTGGTAGTTAAAGCAGGAAAGTTTCTTGGTTCCAAGAATATAAAGCCATACATTTGTTTTTAGAAGGAAAAGGATGTAAGCATACCTGGAAAATTAGAGGGAGTAGTTGAAAGTTCAACTCTTATTAATTATATGGATAGAAATATTCCATTATGCTGACCTTTGAGCACATAAATTTTAGCATTTTCTATTTAAAATGATTTTTTAGTTAAATATTATTCATACATAGGTTTGTTTTCCTAAATAGGATATATATTCCTTTAAAAGTACAACAGTGCAGTACAGAGAAAAGAGATTTTAAAAACTCACTAGCTACTTTTATTTTTTTTTAATTGGAATCTTAATCTGTTGCCCAGGCTGGAGTACAGTGCCACGACAGCTCACCACAGCCTCGATCTTCTGGGCTTAGGTGGTCCTTCTGCCTTAGCCTCCTTATGGTTGTGCACCACCATGCCCAGCTAAGTTTTTATTTTTTTGTAGAGACGAGATCTTGCTATGTTGCCCAGACCATTCTCAAACTCCTGAGCTCAAACAGTTCTCCTACCTCGGCATCCCAAAATGCTTGGGATTACAGGTGTGAGCCACTTGGGCTACTTCACTCTTTACTCATCTCTTCTCTAGAGATTTCAGAGTCAAGCATATCACTAGTAACCAGCTCTGTCCCACCAATCTCTAGTAACCAGCACTGTCCCACCCACCCACTGTACCTGACCAAATACATCTATTCTCTTAAATAATTAAGGGTATATATCATTTTTATATTATGGTTAGGAGCACTTTGACTTTGGAGTCAAATAAAAGTGCCTCTTGCTAGTCATATAATCTAAGTTTTTTCTAAAACTAAGTAACATCATGGTATGAGTTGTTTATTACAGTGACCAACCATAGCAAATATTTAATAAAGAATAACCGTCATTATCTTATCTGCATACTAAGAGTTAATCTTTCCCTAATTAACATTTATGTTGCTTAGAGTTTTTTCACTGTTATAAAGAATGCCAAAGTAAGCATCCTTATGCATGTTTCTTTTCACATTTATTTGTCTCTGCAGGCTCAATTTTTAGAAGGGAGATTAGAATATCAAAGTATGAATATATTAATAGCTAGTACTACACTTTCTCCAGAAATGGACCGATTTATACTTTAATAGAAATTGAATAAGTTTACTAACTGATGTTAGAAACAACTGGCCAATGCTTTGGAAAATAAGGCCATAAAAACTACCCATTTCTCCATACCAATGTAAATACCTGATAGATCAGACTAACACTGGATTTGACCATTCTTTTCAGTTCCTAATAATCTGCTACTGCAAAAATAAAATTATAAATATTTGCATTTCTTGGAATATTAGTGAAGGTAAAGTTTAAATCTCTGAATTGTCTTTGTAATTTTTGTCCATATTTTTTCTGTTAGAATGTTTGATTTATAAGAATCTTTGTTAGGACTAGTAACCGTAGGCCATATTTGTTGTATTTTTTCATGTGTCTTTCATACACACACACACACACACACACACACACACACACACACACACGTATATTTTGTTTTTATTTTTGCGACTAGTAACTGTAGGCCATATTTGTTGTATTTTTTCATGTGTCTTTCTCACACACACACACACACACACACACACACACACACACACGTATATTTTGTTTTTATTTTTGCCATGCAGAGTATCTTCATTTTTATGTTGTCAATTTTAACATTATTTCAGTTTGTGTTATTTTTGTAAATATCTATGACCTGATGTTTATATTGGTATAAAAGAGTGGGAAGGATGGATGTAGGGACTAGTAGAGACGAGGTCTCACTGTGTTGTCCAGGCTGGTCTCAAACTCCTGAGCTCAAGCAGTCCTCACACCTCAGCCTCCCAAAGTGCTGGGATTACAAGTGTTAGCCGCCACTCCCCACTTCCAAAACCTTTTTATAAATGATCTTTTTCCCTTTAACACCAGGAGTCCACAATTGTCTCTGTAACTAGACTATTCTGTTTCAGTCATATATTTGCCTATTCCTGCATTAGTTTCATATTGCTGAATTTTTTAAATTATACTTTTAACATAAATTTTAATACCTGGTAATTCCCCTCATTTTTAAAATAATTTTTCTGTATCTTTTGTGTTTCTTTTTTCAAATGAACTTTATAATAATGTGTAAAGTTTCTAAAATTATCTTGTCAGGATTTTGACTGGAATAACATTATAAATGTTTTATGTGAGCAACAACAACAAATACTAATAAAATTACTTGGGCTACTTCACTCTTTACTCATCTCTTCTCTAGAAATTTCAGAGCCAAGCATATCACTAGTAACCAGCACTGTCCCACCCACCTCTACATCAAATCAACAGAAAGAAAAGAAAGAAAGGAAAGAACAGAAAGACAAGAAAGAAAAGAAAGAACAGAAAGAAAAGAAGAAAAGAAAAAAAGAGTCTTCAAAGGGCAGATGGGTAGAAGGCATAACCTCTGAGGGTTACCATTACTACTATGACCTTATCTCAGGAGGTAAGTCAGTAAAGCATCAAACTAGTAGAGTACACTTCCACTAATAGAATAGAACAATTTGTTTTGTGTTAGGGTTTTTATTTAATATTGGAACATTTTAAATAATCAAAGACTGTTTTTACCATAAAGGAAAGAAAAGAAAGTACCCTTAAAAAAAATACCCTTCTCATAGTAACTCAGTGTCATATTTAGTCAAAGTCTTTAATAATGAGTTCCTTACAAATAAACCATAACTTTATATTTTCTCAATTTAACTTTAGGAAAGTATGAACTAAATGAAAATAAAGCATTTTACTTACAAATAAGGCATTTCAAATCCACTTCATAAATTGTGGGAGTCCTTGAAGTATTCTATGGAAGAGAATTTTTTAAATCTAAAAGCAGTCTGGAAGCCAGAAATTGATTTCTTTTTTGTGTAGCTGTCTTGATTAATAGCAGAGTATCCCTTCATATTAATGTTGGATATTAATTTATTTTTCTCTTTTTTTTTTTTTTTGAGTTGGAGTCTCACTCTGTCGCCTAGGCTGGAGTAAAGTGACACACTCACAGCCACCCAGGCATCGACCTGCTGGGCTCAGGCAAACCTGCCTCAGCCTTCCAAGTAGCCAGAACTACAGGCACACGCTACCACACCTGGCTAATTTTTGATTTATTGTAGAGACCAGCCAAGTTGCCTGGGCTGGTCTCAAACCCCCAGGCTCATGCAGTCCTCTCGCCTCTGCCTCCCAAAGTGCTGGGATTATAGGCATGAGCCACCATGCCTGGCCAGTTTTGGATTTGATAACAAGGGAATTACCGGTGACTTTGAGAAAATTAAAACTGTAAGTCTCACCAAGTTGTCCAGGCTGGTCTGGAACCCCTCCGCCTACCAAAGTACCACACCTGGCTTTCATAAGTATTTTGATTGAAGATTTCAGTAGATTATTAAGAGTGTTCAGCCTTCCAGACAAAACAATACGAACCAAAACAACATTTGAGAAGTTGGGGAAATAGTTTTGTGGTAGAGGTAAAACATGAGGTTCGTTGAAGATGTGGCAGAATGAGGCTGGAAAAAAGGTTGGGGCCATATTATGGAGGACTGAGAGAATGTTCATGCCATTTACTGAAAAACAAAATATAGAAACTGAAAATAAGTTCATGAGGGCAATAATGAATTTTGGAAATGTTGAGTTTAAGGTATCTATAAAACATACATGGGCCGGGCTCGGTGGCTCAGCCTGTAATTCCACACCTTTGGGAGGCTGAGGTGAGCGGATTGCCTGAGCCCATGGGTTCGAGACCCGCCTGGGCAATCGAGACCTCATCCCTACAATAAATCAAAAAATTAGCCGGGCGTGGTAGTGCGCACCTGTAATTCTGGCTTCTCGGAAGGCTGAGGCGGAAGGATCGCCAGAGCCCAGCAGGTCGAGGCTGCGATGGCCAGGAGCGGCTACTGCACTCCAGTCTGGGCGACAGAGTGAGACTCCAACTCAAAAAAAAACATACATGGAATAATTTTAGGTAGCTGACTGATTATCAAGAGTCTGCGATTAGGAGCTAAATTGAGTCTGGAGATGTAGATAATATGTTAACTTTTAGGAGTGTATGTGATCACAAGCCAAGAGAATAGAGCAAGAAGTAAAGAAGGTAGGTAATATGTACGTTAAAGGAATGGGTAGAAGAAAACCAACAAAAAAGTTAAGAATGGTTAGGAAGGTAGGATATCATCAGAAAATTGATTATGAATGAAGAAAACCTTGAGTTAACAATATTATTGTAATTATTATCTTTGAATCATAATCAGCTTTGACTACACAGAAATAGTAGTATTCTCTTAAGAGTTTGTTTAGCACTGAGCCTTAAGTGACAGGCATACTATAGTTCAGCAATGAAGATACCATAAATGATTATGTAATAGAAGTTATAAGTCTTTTTCAAATTTACTCAGAAACATTAATTCTTTTCTCTCTTGTGTTTATGTCTTACTTCCTTTGTTCAACATCCTGCTTGATATACTCTGGATCTCACTGATACTTATTTTTAATTTCTACATGCTTTATCTCATTCCTTTTCTGAATCATTATTCAGTCAAACTGTCACTGTCCCTTGCCCCAGGAAGTCAAAACTCCTTCCTTTGACATTTATCAAACCTGAATTTCATGAAGTCATTAAGAGTAAGAGAAGCCCTACCTGGCTCTAATAATTCCTGTGGAAGTTCCAATAACTTCTGATACTTCATTCTGCCCTTTCTTCTTGGTTACATAGCACTCACATGTATTCTCTGCATAATACTACTGGAATGTATGTTGTTTATTTTTCAATTGTGTTTTAAACTGTAGACCTGTAGTGTTTTGTTCAGAGCAAGATTGTCTTGTAAATTTTTGCTAAATTAAACTTTTTTAAAGTTTTTTTTTAAAAACAAAAAGATTTTATAAATACAGTATTTTTGCTTTAAGCATCTCAGTGGGAGAAACCTGATGGATTTGAAGGAAACTTGAAAAAGGTAACTGAAGTACATTAATAGTGTTTTTGCTTTATGCTTTAAAATGATGAGCTTTTGGGGGTTTATACATTTTTGTTAAGCAAATTTACTTACAAGTACCCCTCCTCCCAAATTTTGTTGTTGTTGTTGTTTTACTTGTAAACCTTTTGTTAGAAGGCTGGGTGCAGGTGAAAAAGTGATTATCTATCTATCCAAAAACTCCATGCAGGTCAGATAGTAGTTGGTTTGCAGTTAGTTGCCATTCACATGTCCCTATCCATTTGGAAAGCATTGTTCTGGCTTTCAGAGGTGAGACATTCTTTCTTTGAAAGTTGGTTCATGATTGGCAAAAACCACACTTCCTGGCCGTGATCAGTACTACCACTCCCAACTGCAGGTATTAAGGGGAAAGGAAAGGGTGGCTGACTCTGCCTTTGTTATCTCATATGTAACCATCATCATTTCCTTCAGTTTATGCTGGGGTTTTTTTCATCCTGTTAGAAAGCAGAGAAGACTGTTTGGGTAGAAGGTCTAAGTGAAGATGGTTATACCTATTATTATAATACAGAAACAGGAGGTAAGTATTACCCTAGATCATTGCCTCCTCATTGATAAATCGTCTAAATTTGGGAATTTTATACACACATACACGTTTTTAATGTATTTTATATCTATCTATATATATGTATTCTTTTTCTTTTTTTTTTTTTTCTTTTTGTTTTTTTTTTTAGTTGGAGTCTCACTCTGTCACCCAGACTGGAGTGCAGTGGCCGCTCCCAGGCACTGCAGCCTCGACCCACTGGTCTCTGGCGATCCTTCCACCTCAGCCTTCCAAGTAGCTGGAACTACAGGCGCGTGCTACCACGCCCGGCTAATTTTTTGATTTATTGTAGAGATGAGGTCTCGCCTGCCCAGGCGGGTCTCGAACCCGCGGGCTCAGGCAATCCACTCACCTCAGCCTCCCAAAGGCACGGGATTACAGGCTGAGCCACCGAGCCCCACTCCTTTTTTTGTTTTTTTTTGAGTCAGAGTCTTACTATGTCACCCACCTGCACTGCAGGAGTACACTGACATGATCACAGCTACACAGCCTCAACTTGCTGGGCTCAGGCCATCCTTCTGCGTTAGCCTTACAGGTACCTGGAACTACAAGTGCATGCCACCATGCCTGGCTAATTTTTTGATTTACTGTAGAGATGAGGTCTTGCCAAGTTTTTCAGGCTGGTCATGAACCCCAGCGCTCAGTCCTCTCACCTTCGCCTCCCAAAGTACTGGAATGAGCATAAGCCACCATGCCAAGCCTGGAATTGTGTTATATGGTAAACATTTCTATGGCAAGCATGAATTTAAAAGCATTAACCAAAAGATTTCTATTTAAATTACATTGTGCTGAGCATCAATATTATTCTCAATTGATATTGCCTTCACAACCTTAAAAAAACAGCATCATTTTAGCTTTCTCTAAAATGATTTTTATCAAAATTATTTTAGAAATATAGTCATTACCTTGAAAGATAGCTTAGAAATCACCTAGTTTATCTTGACTTTTCCTATTAAAAAACAAAACTGAAACAGTGGTTGGAATTACCAATTTTTCTCTTCTACTGATATAATTAAATGTTTCAGTTTGTAAATATTTATGCAGCATGCATATTACTATCTATTATCTAAAATTTTCAAATAAGCATTTTATCTAATTTAATTTCATAAAACTGGTCTTCAAAATATTGTACCTGGTTTCTACTGTAGTTTAATTTACCAAAATAGCTATAGTATTGGTGTAACATTCTGAGAGGTTTTTTATGGTTGCTTTTTTTTTTTTAATGCCCACTATCCTTATCTCATATAGAACATTAAATCTTTTAGGAAGAAAAGGCCCTTTTAACCTCCAGGTAGATACCTATCCTGCCCAGTTTTAACAGTGTCTCTATCCTAGTACAGTTGAAGTTCTGAATATTTACAGATAAAAAATAATATAGTGATTTAATTTTAGCTTTAGTCTGAGAGTATCTGAGCTCATTGCATAGCTTCTTCTCTTACCAGTGATATGTTTATGGACAAGTCACTGAGCCCATAATCACTCTTCAGTGAAATGAACAATCATGTACTCTGTGAGCATCATATGTCTACAAAGTTCTCCAAACAGTGCTTGACGTATAGTAGATGCTTAATAAATTATTTCTTGCAAGTTCTTTTGTTACTTGGGTGACATGTAGATAAGGAAAAGTGATGTTTTTCACTAGCTTTAGCAAGTACCCTATATTCATTAAGAGGCTATGTGTATTGATTTGCCCTGAATGGTCTCGATTTAAACCTAGACCAGTGTAGTTTATAGCAACCCTTTTCACTCTTGAAACAGAACCAAGTGAATAATAAATTGTTCTCTCCCTTTTATTAAGCTAAAAATAGAGAATTACTGCAAGGTAATTAGAAATACTGTCATTTTACTAAAAGCTCAATGAACCACCGGACGGCAGTACAGTTAAATCAGTTGAGGTTCCTCCCACCTTAAAAATAAAAACATTCAGCCCTTCATAGTATGATTTCACTTTGTGAAAATCTTGGGAAATCTTTGCGATAAGTAAATTCTAGGAAATCCCATGTATGTTCATTATCAATATGTTTCCTGATATTGGTATCAGGTAAATTGTAAGTCCTTAGAAATATCACCTGGTTCCTAGGTCTTTTATTCCTTTGGAGCATTGGAGTGACGTTTATACATCTAGTAAATCCAGATTGTTTAAAATCGATTTTTTCCCAGGCTTGGTAGCTTAGCCTGCAATCTCAGCACTTTAGGAGGCCGAGGCGAGTGGATTGCCTGAGCCCACGGGTAACTTGGCAAGACCCAGGCAACTTGGCAAGACCTCATCTCTACAATAAATCAAAACTAGACAGGCATGGTAGCACACACCTATAGTTCCAACTACTTGGAAGGCTGAGGTGGATAGATTGTTGGAACCCAGCAGGTCGACACTGGGCCCAACCACTGATCAGTGAGCATGCCACCGTACTCCAGCCTGGGCAACAGAGTTAGACTTCAATTCAAAAAATAAAATTTTTGATAAAAAAAATTTTTTTTTAAGTCTAGGTGTCTCACTCTGTTGCCCAGGCTGGAGTGCAGTAGCACGATCACTGCTCACTGCAGCCTCAATATCCTGGTCTCAGGTGAACGTTCCACTCCATCCTCCTGAGTAGCTGGGAGTAGAAAGATGTGCCACCACACCCAGCTAAATCTTTTAAAATTTTTTTGTAAAGATGAGGTATGCTATGTTGCCTAGTCTGGTACCGAATTTCTGGGTTCCAGCAATCCTGCCTCAGCCTCCCAAAGGTTGCTGGATTATAGGCATGAGCCAGTGTACCTGGCCTAAAATCAATTTTTGAAAGATAAAAGATCAAGAGGTTTGGGAACTCCTATGTATTATCTTCTTGATCAAGTGGTAGTATGAAATAAATGCAGTATTGTCATTTAATAATTATAAGTAACAGGAAGTGTTATGTTGAAATTACGTCTGAATAGAATTTGTATCTAAATAACTTGACTATTAAAATGTGTTGAGCAGAATCCAGATGGGAGAAACCTGATGATTTCGTTCCAAACACTAGTGATCTGCTTTCTAGTAAGGTCACTGAAAAGTCAGTTGGCACTCTAGAAGAATCCAAATCATCAGATTCACATAGCGATTCTGATGGAGAACAGAAAGCAGTACAAGAGGTCTCTACAGAAACAAAAAAGCTAATAATAAAATTTAAGGTAGGTTTTTATTTACTCTTTACAAAATGTTATAAAAAGCACTAAGACTTCAGTCTCCTAGTGAAAGCAGAAATAAAGCAGAGACACACATTTTGGTAGTGGGTAAATGGTTGTGCTGTTTACTGAAATCTATTTGGGAGCAAGACAAATCTATTTGGGAGTTAACACCCATTCAGAGAATTGCATATGAAACAGTATCCCAGGCCTGCCACCAATGGTTGTGTAGTTTAAAAAGAGGCTAAAATCCAGCACGAGAGCCATTTGCTAAACAGAGTCTCAAGACTTTGTCATCGCAGATGAAGGGGTGCCCTAAAACACAGCCTCATCCAGGGAATCCCATGAAGGTGCTTCTACACCAAAAGGGTGTCTTCCTAATTTGCACGAGGTAACTAGTTGTATAGGCCAGTGATGCTCTGGCAGTAACTTCAAGGTGAAGGTGAATTGTTCAGTTGAGACAAAGAGGTTGAAGTTCTTTAAATTGGTGATGCATATAAAAGGGTCTGATGACGTGACATCAGATTCAAAAGGGGCACAGTATAAAGGGCATCACTGCTGGATATGTAACTCAGGTAAGAAACCAGAAAAGAGGATTGTCTGTATGTTGCTACTTGTAGAACTCATGACCTTAATATGGTCATGTCATGCGCATTTTTTTTTTAAAAGAGGAGCTTTGGGAAGCCTTGATCATAGTATATCAACATTTTAGACATGGAAAACCTAATTAAGCATTAAAGTTTTATGTACAGTTGTGTTATGTGCAAATTTAGATTTTTTACATTGTTTCCAACATTTATTTATTTCCATAGATGTTTTACTACAAAACTTAGGATGAGGTGTTTGAGAGTGTATGTTCAGCTGTAGAACAAATATAAGGTACCTTGGAAGTCCAACTGGGGCTCCTCAAATGTGGGAAAACAACCAGGGTGAAGCATAGATAAGCTGAGGCCTTTAGTAGAATAGCAAAATTCATTCCTGTTGTCTTGGGTGTTGGCAACAAAAGTGGTTATAGTCAACATGGGTGTCCACCTAGTCCACTTAAGCAAAATCTGCTATGTGAACAAAGTCTCTTGAGACTTAAAGAACAGTCGATTAACACTAATACCACAGAGAGCAATCCTGTGAGGTTGCAGTGTTATTGTTATAGACAGGACTGTACAGAACTTGAGAAATGCATACGAGATAAATGAGACACTATGGATATTTGATGAGAATAACTCTTGATTAATACGTTTTTAGGGTTGAGGGTGACACCAAGAAGGGATTTACTTGAGTAATAGGAGATGACTGGAGCTGTGGAAACTGCATGTGTTTGACTAAAAATTGTAAAAATGAGTGACTATATTTCTCACTATAGCTAAATTCAGCTACTGCTTATAACAGCTGTCATTCTTTATTTCTTTAAATATTAGTTATGATCATAAAAGCATTACTGGAAAATAACTTTTTCCTGCATAGCTGCAGGATCCATATGGCAGGAGCATAGAAGCGTAAATGGTTGTTTTTTTATTATAGTTGATTTCAAAAATTATTTTAGCCTGTATTTGGAAATACTGCTATTATCTGTTTCTCTATCTGCCAGCATATTTATCAGTCAGAGTTCTCTAGAGAGACAGAACAAAGAACATAGATATAGATATATAAGAGGGGATTTATGAGGGGAACTGGCTCACACTATTACAGAGACTGAGAAGTCCCATGACAGGCCACCTAACAAGCTACCCTGGGATGCTAATAGCTTGACTCAGTCCAGGGCCAAAGGCCTGAGGACAAGGTCACTGGTATAAGTCCAGGCAGCTTGGAGTTCTAGTGTCCAAGGGCGGGAGAAGAGTTTTCCAGCTCCAGGAGAGAGTGGGAAATTTAGATTTTTAAGTGAATTAGCATATTGCTATTTATAAATCTATAACAAGTCTTTTAAAAACCTTAGTTTAAAAGGTTTTTTGTCCTGTAGTTTTGCTTAAAATGTATTATTTCTTGACTTTTACATTTCAGGAAAAAAATAAAAATAGTGTTAAAAAAACTGACCCAGAAACACAGAAAGAGAAAAGTATTCCAAAACAGATTTCATTAGTTTCAAAAGAAGAAAAATCCAAGACTCTTAAAAAACCAAATCCATATGGAGAATGGCAAGAAATTAAACAAGAGGTTGAGTCTCAGTAAGTACCTGAAACCTTAGTCCCACCATTATTACAAGTATTTTATATCCTTGTACTTCCATAAATTGCAGTAACATATTTCACGGATGCTGTGCTTATTAAAAGTGTAGCTCATTTCTTTTTTTTCCTTTTTCTATTAAATATTTTTTAAAGTATTTTAAAATGTAAGTTAATGGTTACTTTAAAAATTAAGGTAATGATTGTTTTAATTCCTCCCAAAACATGACATATTCCTATTTACCACATTCACACACTAACTCACACCATGTACACATGTGCATCCTCACACTGTTATCATTCTACCAGAGAAACGAATACCTGCATATTCAGTAAATGTTTCATAGGATGTTTTTGATACATCTGTAGGCAAGAAAATCTCTGATTTGTTTCTCTCTTGAAAGCAGTTTACAACACTTCACTAAAGTTTTAAAGCCAGTATTCAAAAAACAAAACAATTTCAGTTAAACAGAATCATAGTGAAGATGCTACCTGATTTATGTTGTTAACTTATTTATTCAAGTCAGTTATTTTTTTCTTTCTTTTTCCTTTTTTTTGGAGTTGGAGTCTCACTCTGTCGCACAGGCTGGAGTGCAGTGGCACGTTCCCAGTCACCACAGCCTTGACCTACTGGGCTCAGGCGAATCTTCTGCCTCAGCCTTCCAAGTAACTGGAACTACAGGCATGTGCCATCATGTCCAGCTAATTTTTTGATTTGTTGTAGAAATGAGGTCTCACCAAGTTGCCCAGGCTGGTCTTGAACCTGTGGGCTCAGGCAATCCTCTCACCTCAGCCTCCTGAAGTGCTGGGATTATAGGCGTGAGCCACAGCAGCTGGCAAAGTCAGTTATTTTCTTAGGAGCATTTATACCATGAAAGAAGATGCCACTTCCATTTTCACATTTCAGTGTTTCTTAAGTGCTTTAAGGAATCTTTAGGTTAAAAAAAAAAATTATCTACACAAGTAAAGCAATTATTCTTCAAAATATTAATTCTTTCGAATGGCATTGTAAGGTAGCTGTTCTGTATGCTTCTATAGTGAAATTATTTATTAAAACTGTACATTTTTATATTTGGAAATTAAATTTCTTTCCAAGCCGGGCTCGGTGGCTCAGCCTGTAATCCCGCGCCTTTGGGAGGCTGAGGTGAGTGGATTGCCTGAGCCCGCGGGTTCGAGACCCGCCTGGGCAGCGAGACCTCATCTCTACAATAAATCAAAAAATCAGCTGGGCATGGTAGCGTATGCCTGTAATTCCAGCTGGTTGGAAGGCTGAGGCGGAAGGATCGCCGGAGCCCAGAAGGTCGAGGCTGCGGTGGCCAGAAGCGGCCACTGCACTCCAGTCTGGGCGACCGAGTGAGACTCCAACTCAAAAAAATAAAAATAAAAAAAATTTAAAAAAATAAAATTTCTTTCCAATTTTAAAAGCTCAGTGAAAACAACATAGGTAACTAACCTAGGTCAAAATGAAATTATTTAGATATCAATTTTTAAAATACTGAAGATAGAATTTATATCCCTCTTTTTCTAGAATTCTGATGATAAGCATTTAGAGTATATTTATTCTTCCAGATAATAGATGTATGTCAAGAACTTGTTGTGTTTTTTAAGGCATTAGTAAAGCCTTCAGTAATATTAAACAAAATGAGGCAAAAGTCCAAAAAAAACTGTACATTTTAAAAAACTGTACATTAATGAAAAAGTTAGAACTTTTTAAATAAGATACAGTAATACAAGTTTTGGGCAGTTCATTTTACTCGTGTCTAGGCATGACAACATAATATAGCTTAAGACTGCTATAAAAATGTTGATGAGAGGGGTACACGGTGACTTAGCCTGTAGTCTCAGCATTTTGGGAGGCCGAGGCGAGAGGATTGCCTGAGTCTGGGGGTTCAAGACCAGCCCAGGCAACTTAGCAAGACTTCGTCTCTACAATAAATCGAAAATTAGCAGGCATGGTAGCGTGCCTATAGTTCCAGCTACTTGGAAGGCTGAGGTGGAAGGATCGCTGGAACACAGCAGGTCGACGCTGGAGTGGTGGTGAGCATTTGACTGCACTTCAGCCTGGCCAACGGAGTGAGATGCTGCCAACTCAAAAAATAATAATAATAAATAAATAATTTTTTTAAAAAAGATTTTTTGAAAATGAATAAAAGTATAAGAATAACTCATCGGGTTATCTAGCAATAATAAATTTCCAAGTATTTTTTCTAATTTACCCTATTTAATCTTACATTAATATTTTTTTCATTGTGTTTATTTATTTATTTTTTTTTTAAGTTGGAGTCTCACTCCATTGCCCAGGTTGGAGTGCTGTGGCACGCTCACAGCCACCCTAGTGTTGACCTGCTGGGCTCAGGAGATCCTTCTGCCTCAGCCTTCCAAGTAGCTGGAACTACAGGTGTACATGTTATCATGCCTGGCTAATTTTTTTTTTTTTTGAGTCGGAGTCTCACTCTGTTGCCCAGGCTGGAGTGCAGTGTTATGCTCACGGTCACCTCATCCTCGACCTGCTGGACTCAGGCGATCCTTCCACCTCAGCTGTCCAAGTAGCTGGAACTACAGGCACTCACCGCCACAACCGGCTAATTTTTTGATTTATTGTAGAGATGTGGTCTCATTAAGTTGCCCAGACTGGTCTCGAACTCAGGCAGTCCTCTCACCTGAGCCTTCCAAAGTGCTGGTATAGGCGTGAGCCACTGCGCCCGGCCTGTTTTTTTATTTATTATAGAGATGCGATCTCGCCAAGTTGCCCAGGCTGGTCTCGAGCCTGTGGGCTTAGGCAGTCCTCTCACCTCGGCCTCCCAAGGTACTGGGATTATAGACTTGAGCCACCACACCTGGCCTATTATGTTAAAATTTTAAAACATTTTTAATTACTGGTTAATATTTTGTGTTTTAGATGTACGTTGATTTTAGTAACTGTTTCCTTTTTTTTTCTTTTGAACATTTAGGTTATTTCTACATTTTAAAAATAACAAACTGAGCCAGGCTCGGTGACTCAGCCTGTAATCCCAGCATTTTGAAAGGCCGAGGTGAGTGGATTGCCTGAGCCCGCGGGTTCGAGACCCACCTGGGCAACTTGGCGAGACTTCATCTCACAATAAATAAAAAAATTAGCCAGGCATGGTAGCGCGCGCCTGTAGTTCCAGCTACTTGGAAGGCGGAGTAGAAGGATTGCCCGAGCCCAGCAGGTCGAGGCTGTGGTGGCCGGGAGTGGCCACTGCACTCCAGTCTGGGTGACAGAGTGAGATTCCAACTCAAAAAAACAAAAACAAAAAATAAACAAACAAAATAACAACCTGATTATTGTATGGCCAGATATGCACATTTCTGACTATATCTTAAAGTGTAATACCTGGTTAAAAATTGTGAACATTTTTTTCTGGTTAGTATAGTAGTGAGTAATATAAAAAAGTTGAAAAGAAAATATGAACATTTTGAAATCTTGATATACAGTGTCCAATTATTTCTTAGAAAGAGCACTTTATACTCCATCAGCAGTTTCTGAAAGTTCCTTTCTTATTGAATCCTCCCACAATTATTACTGAGCTCACAGATATTTTCTAGTTTGTCAAAAAGTATCTTATTGTAATTTTCTTTTATTCGATTTACTGATGAGGCTGAAATTTTTTGTCATGTATTTATCAGGATATCCATTCATTCATTTTTAAGGGAATCTACTATGGTAGATTGTTCTTCAAGTTTTATATTATGCAGAGTGGCCTTTTAAGAAATTTTTGCATTGTCCTTACTGGCTTGAAATCATATCTTTGTCCTTAAGTCATCTTTTATTTTGTTTTTGCAATCATAGCACATTTTCTAACTATTCTTAAATTTTGCCGGGCTCAGTGGCTCAGCCTGTAATCCCGCGCCTTTGGGAGGCTGAGGTGAGTGGATTGCCTGAGCCCGCGGGTTCGAGACCCGCCTGGGCAGCGAGACCTCATCTCTACAATAAATCAAAAAATCAGCCGGGCGTGGTAGCGCATGCCTGTAATTCCGGCTACTCGGAAGGCTGAGGCGGAAGGATCACCGGAGCCCAGCAGGTCGAGGCTGCAGTGGCCGGGAGCGACCACTGCACTCCAGTCTGGGCGACAGAGTGAGACTCCAATTCAACAAAAACAAAAATTTTACAAATTATTACAGTGCCTCTAAGGACATACTTGTCCAAGCTTGCATTTTTATTCATGTATGTAGAGAGTGGAACACATAAAGACCTCTCAGGCCTCTCAGTATTGTCACTATAGCCCTCTTTGCATAGTCAGTGTGAGACAGACGATTTGTTAACCTGTGTTTTGTTTAAGATAATTGAATAGTATGTTTAAAAAATATATATATATATATTTTTTTTGAGTTGGAATCTCACTCTGTCACCCAGACTGGAGTGCAGTGGCCGCTCCTGGCCACCGCAGCCTCGACCTGCTGGGTTCCGGCGATCCTTCCGCCTCAGCCTTCCAAGCAGCTGGAACTACAGGCACGCGCTACCACGCCCTGCTGATTTTTGATTTATTGTAGAGATGAGGTCTCGCCAAGTTGCCCAGACGGGTCTTGAACCCTCAGGCTCAGGCAATTCACTCACCTCAGCCTCCCAAGGCGCGGGATTACAGGCTGAGCCACCGAACCCGGCTAGTATGTTAAAATTTTTAAGTCTTAGCAAATACATAAAAATCACATTATCTCTAAATTGCGGTTATTAAGAACCATAGTTGATGGGAGATTGCTACTCTTGAATTACTGGTTTTGTTGTAAGAGGTATATACAATCAACCCCAGTGCCCTTTTCAACTGCAAATGACAGAAATTCTCATATGTCTGAGAGATACAGTGGATTCAAATGAGTCTGGATCTAGGGGCTGGAGTAAAATTATTGGAATACTGTATCCATCTCTGATTCTGCTTTGCCTTCCTGAGTTGACCACTTCTCAGGCAGGCTTTCCCCACCTTACAGCAAAGCTTCAGGCTTATATCATCCTTACATTTAGAGATCCCAGCATAAAGAGAGTTGTT